ACCGAACCGAACAGAACCGACCGAGTTTTCGAAAATTTCGAACCGAACCGATTTCGGTTCGGTTCGGTTCGGTTCGGTTCGGTTCGAAACCGAACCGGTCCCATCGCTGATACGTATGACTCTATCGAGTTTAAAATATGATATGAATTTTGTTTGACAAAGCAATGCTAATAATACTGAATTTTATTCAATCGTGATTTTTAGCGAGTACAATATCTGTTTCTTTATTTTATATCACTAGACACCGTTGAAATGAATAAATATTTTTCGCTCATTTATAAATAATAAATTATATATAATCAAATTGTTATTTAATGCTACAATGAACAATACTTGTAGTTCATGATTATAAGTTTATTAATGATCAACAAAACAGCATCGCCTTTTTGTCACAATTTTAATAAGTATTTTTCTAAATGTAGGTCCAGCTAATGTATAAAGATAAAATGGAAGGCTTATGGCCATATATGAGAGTACTCCAGTAAATGCAAAAACGAATCTATCAATAGCAAGTTGTAGATCAGTGTCTACGCTTCCTTTTTTTTCAAGTGTCATTGTTAAATATAATGCTTCAGCAACAGCAGGTAACGTCAGGATAATGTAAGCAAATACTTGAACAATTAGCATACGTCCTAAGCTTCTCATCTTAGCTTGATTTGCAACTTGATTTCTCATAACTCTTGTGATACTTGAAGCCATATTTGTATTAAATGCTGAATTATGAAAAATATCAACATTGACACGTCGTCGAGAGTAACGAATACTATGAATAGTTTTCCAACCAATAAAAAGTATTGTACAGTGAGGTACTATAATAGTGATTAACGCATATGATATATTCTCAAAATAACGGCAAGTTTTTGAGCCAGCATAGCATTTTATTGGAGGAATAGTAAGAAAAGCTTCATAACAGATAGCATGAATTGAATGATAGATACCGAATACGATTAAAATTATGGTAATTGCTCGTGTAGAATTCTTGATCGAGCTCATCTGTCGGTAACGTACATTCTGACTAGATTGAAGACATCGATCGATGGTAGCAGCAAGAATAAAATAGGAGCAACTTGTCTGACCTAATTTGTTGGTATAAGCTTGAAACTTACACAAAACAGTATTGTATGATGCTGGGTCAGCTGTCCAACCTGACATTATTCGGGCAAGCAAGCCTGAAGTAAGTGAAGCTAAACTTGCTCCTGATACTGCCAAAAAAATAACCAGCTGTTGGTACTTGATTTAGAACTGGTTGAGATAAGGGGACCCCCTTTCCAGAGCCAAAAAAATTTTTTTTCGATTTTTTTTTGTTTTCGTGTAAAGGTGTATCAAGGTCTCCTCTATGTGTGCTATAAAAATCAGAACCATCAAAGGTCTGGAAGTCTCTGAAAAACCCGGTTTTTTGGAGACCTATGCATTAAAAAAAAATTTTTTTTTTTAACATAAAGTTATATTATGATATGGTATACCTATACTTACGTATAAGCGGAAAAAAA